TGCATTTACTGGCCTTGAAGGCCTCTCAAAACTGCGTTTTGTTGTTGAAATGCCCCACTTGGGACACCTTAAAGAGGTTCTCCCTTTTAGAATGCTGAGGACCACCTTGAATAAGATCATTTCACACCCAAAGAGAGTCTTCCAGTAAAGCTTGTGATGGTATATCATTTCTAGTTAAGCTTCAGGATGTCAAATTAAATCAAGTTTTCCCCACAAGTGACAATTAATGAACATCTTGGGAGGTTAAAAAAAAGCTATGACAGTCTAGGTTCCTCAATCTCCATTCTGGCAACAATTCCATTTATATATGTATAAATATATAATATATATATATATATATATATGCACCTATATGTTGGCACAGTACACATGGCAGGGAAAGCACAAGCATGAAAGCAATAAACCCATCAAGAAATTAGTCCATTGGAGAGAAGATTCCTTTTTCTCCCTCTCAGATCTCTGTTGCACCAGCTCCCTTCTCAGGTTCAACAAAAACGCACAAGCATTTGTGCCAGCACAATTTATAGATGGGAAAGGGCTGCGGAAATTCATGTTCATTTAGTCCAAACAGCAGTACAGCCAAAAGTTTGACCATGACTGAAGCCTCAGTGAAAATAGTTTTAAATGTAGTTTACCAAAAATAAGGGCAAACTGATATACTCTGGAGTTTGCTCTAGCCAAAACCAGAGCATTAAGTCGACTTCTTTGACAGCACACAAACATTTACAAACAGCAGCCTCAACTGGGGTGAGAATGCAATCACATGACTAAAAATATAGCTATATTTCAGCAGCTGACATTACCTTTGGGAAGATAAGAAGTTGATGGAACTTCATAGGGCTCTCCATCTGCTTCTGGGTTTGATGAAGACGAAGATGCATTAGGAAGAGACGCCGGAGAACCACAGACGTTGTCACTTTCTTTTGTCCCTGGCTTGACCACCACCATGTTTTTCCCAAAGCAGTCAGTGTAGGTTTTGCACTTCATCACACTAGAAGGCACATCAGAAAAGGTACCACGAGGGCACGGCTTGCACCTAACGTCTTCCGTCTCGGTTCCTTTCTTGCGGACGCCCCAGCCAACTGGGCACACGGTATAAGGGATGCAGGTGTCATTAGTCTGAAACGTACCAGACAGGCAAGTGCACTCGCGGTCAGTCAAGGCAGTACAATGAGTTTTCTCAATCATTGGCAGTTCGCAAGGTTTCCTACAAGCGTGGCATCGCTCTATGCCGTTCTCATGCTTAGTAAAGGTCCCATCCGGACACGGGCTGCACTCTCTTAAGGTACTCTTTGTACAGTGCTTAGACACATAGGTCCCTGCGGGACATTTGTCGCAGATGAGCTCTTTGTTAGTGGCACGGTCGAGGTGGCGGTACTTGCCAGAGGAGAGGCTTATGGCATTCTGTTCGGAGGTCAGTTTGGACTCAGCATCAGCGGTGCCAAGGAGCATGAGCAACTGCAAGACAACGGGAACGTATTAGCCAAAAAGAGCGTGCAACCAGAGCCCTCTCTCGAAAAGCACAGTGTCATTTCACAGAATCACAGAATGGCTGAGGTTGGAAGGGACCTCTAGAGATCATCTAGTGCTCCAGCAGGGACACCCAGAGCATGTGGCACAGGGTGGCGTCCAGGTGGGTTTGGAAGATCTCCAGAGAAGGAGACTCCACAACCTCTCTGGCCAGCCTGTGCCAGGGCTCTGTCACCCTCACAGGAAAGAAGTTCCTCCTCCTTGCAGTATCTCTAAGATCATCATCCCAGACTGTGGAACTAGGGAGATCTTGCAGCTTACCAATGTCATGGCGGAGGACAGCAAGCTGCCCGGACACTTAGCCAGTGTCTGGATAGACCAACTTTGCGATGAAGACATTAAGAGCTGGCTACAATTACAGGCCTTAAATTCGATACCAGGCTTCTCAGCGAGACTAAGCATCATTTACACCACAACCCTACCAGGACAGTAAATACTACTAGCTGTGTTTCAGCAGTACGTGCTACCTGGCCACCCCAGGAGGGTTCAGACCAGCTTTGCATTTCAAGGGTGAGAGGTTCATCAGAAACTCAACAACAGTCAAGCATTTGCTGAGAAGACAAAAAAACCAGTATCAGCAGCAATAACCCATAAAACTTTCTTCCTCTATATCTGTTAATCTGCTGTTTTCAAAGACTCACCTTTTAAACTAACCCAAGACAGGAAGAAACCCAGCCCAGCATGAGTTACCACACTATTTCTCAGCTGCTCTGCCTTCCTCCTATCTATACAGTGGCTTCCACAGTTCAGAACTTTGGCAAGGCAGCAAGATTTTTCTGCCTTGAGTTTCCAGCCACATCTGAATTTACTTCAAGCTGGATGTTTTTTCAACAGGAGGTTAAAAAAAAAAAAAAAAAGTTATTTTTAAGCTCTTTTAGGGGCACTGCTGTAATGTAGTTCCTCATTGCATCATACACAGGTAAGTGGTCTCTGCCTCATTTCTTAGGCAACAAGCCAAGCTCCCGGACTCCAAATTGCACCCAGCTGGGTTTGGCTATATTACAGAAAGAGAAGTGTTTGTCTCTGTATGTGTTACCAGTTTCATGGTGTTATTCCATGGTATTAATTCTTTCGCACCAATTCCAGCAAGCTGCTCCATCTCCCGACGAGGAGCCTACCAAGCAGGATCCCACTTCCCCCAGAAAACCTCTACTCTACAGATTTTACATCAACCAACATCAGCAGGGATAATATCCTGGAAACAAATGATACATCTAGGAAAGGCTGTCACAACTGTAACCTTAAACGCAATATAAAACACATTTTCACATAACTGAAGGCTAAGACTTTCAGGGGGAATGGAAAGGAATCATCTAACGTTACCTTGAATTTCCAGCAGGGATTTCTTACACCAAAATTACAAACACCTTTTAAAAGAAGCTGTAATCAGGACCAAAGACCCTAAAGCTTCTTGAATCGGCCAACTGAGGACACGAACTGCTTTGCTGTGCTATGCAGGACCCGGGTCTTGCTCTGCCTCCTATTCTGGGACACCAGCCAAGGAGAATATATTCAAAAAAAGCCTCCCGACAACATGACTCTGCAGAACACGCAGCAGCAGGGCAGCAAGCCGTGCCGCAGCACTTTTGGTGCAGTCACTTGCTTCCTGGAAACACATGCTCTGGCAGCACATTGCTGTTCCACCTGCTAAATAATTTACAGCTCAGGATTTGTACAAAACACTACAATTTTTTTTGTTTTTTTTCCCTCCATGAAGCAGAAATTAAAGAGCAGTGAGAAGGCGACAAGATTGCAGGAGCTGACTCTGATGCTGCAGTGGCCAGGCCAATTGCTGCCCGTTAAATTAAAACAAAAAGAGTGACTGCGAAGGCTCACACGATGCGTTCCTTCCCCGCTCCCTCAAGACACAACCTCTGAAGCGCTTAGCGGGCACTGAAGGAACCTGCCACCCGTAATCCCCGTGACGCAACCCGAATTAGCCAGCCAGATACAACAGGGTTTGTCCTCCGGAGAGCTCGTGCAGAACGAGCGCCGCTTCCCACAACGCTGGTGCCACGGAGAGCGCTGGGACGGCTGGTGCCGTCTACCGTGGCCCCTTCTGCCAGCAGGAGATGGGCAGAGCTCTAAAACAGGTTGATCTGGGAGAAAACTTCTGGCCCTACCTCACTGGAAACACAAACTATCCATCAGTGGAGGCTTTCCGGCACCAAGGAGGGTTGAGATCTACCAAACACCTCCGAGCCAAGCAACACCTACACCCACACCTGGGTTCGGAAACATCTCCAGATTTTCAGCTGCATTAGCACTTCTGAGCTTACGGACAAGAGCAGGTTATAGAGGGGGATGGCTATAAGGGGTTGGACAACTGGTATTTCATTGCATTTGTGCTTGCTTGTAAAATAATATATAAATAATAAAATAAATATTTCATAAATAATGAAATCCAGCAGCTCAGAACTAGCCGTCACCACTCAGATCTCTGAAGGCAACAGAAACAGGAGGACACCCTCAGTAACAAGGTCACTGAACGCAGTGCAGGATAACACTGAGGAGCACGTCTCGCTTCAAGCAGTTTCGGTGCTGCTCTCCACAAAGAGTCTCGCAGCAAAAACGCTTGGCAAGGACAACCAAGGATCTCAGGGATCATCTCCAGCTCCACAGTGATGCCAGGCACCAGAACAGTGCTTGTGTCAGCAAAGACACATCCCCGACACATCCTACTCCAGCACGTAGAGGTCTACAGCATAAGGAAAGCAGAGGGGGAGTCTTGGAAACAGATGGGGCAGGGGAAATAAAAGTGATGAAACCTCAAGCCAGGGGACATTGCCCAACTCATGGCCACCAAACTTGGCAACCGTGGTCCTGTCCATGTTGGTGTTGTGTTTTACCACCCTCTTCAAACAAGATTGGTGTTGTCAACTCAGTGTGAGGTTGACTGGGTCTAAACAAGCCCAATGGGCAGCTTGTAGAGGAAAATGTTTTGACAGGGTCACTAGCTCCAGAGATGACCATGCTGAGGATACAACAGCCCCACCAGGACCCGAATTTGCTCCCGACCCTGGCGACCCTGGTAGCAACACCAACCCAAAAGTGGCAAAACAAGAGGAATCCACAAGTCCTGACACAGCAAAGCACCTCGAGGCAGCCCTCACCTCATCGGAGTCCAGGACCTCCCAGCTAAGGGTCCCATGGGGAGGATCAAGGCAACAGCAGACTTAGAAAAGATGCAATGAAAAAGGAAGGCAAAAGCCAGCTCAGCGGAGGGCACAAGTGAAGCACGGGCACGGAGGGCTGCTCGCGTGCAGACACCGCGTCAGCGCTCAACTGTCACTCCGGGAACTGCTTCCCGGAGAAAGCTGCAAAATTCCGCAACTCTCGGCTGTAGTCACAGCTCCCAGCCACTTCCCACACCCGAGAGAACCGGGAAGAGGTATCAGAATCAAATCACTTATTCTCCGAAAGTTTATTATGGTGGGGTCTCCAGGACCAAGTTTTTTCTTCTTTTGAAGCAAGACAAAATCTCTGCCGGTTCAGAGCGAGACGCGGGGAACATGCCAAAACAGCAGCCAGGGCTCGTCTGCTCCCCACCGAGGGGGATGCAGCAGCTGCACTGACAGATCTGCATCTACAGCGAGGGCAGCTCAGATGCACCGTAAATCACCCCCGCTTCGCTCATCTCACTAAAAAAAAGCTGTCAATACCCTCAAGGCTTCCCAAATAATGCCTTATATATATGTATGTAGGCAAATATGTATATATCCCTCCCATTTAAAGGACGCTTCACCCTGGCATTTCAGGGCCATCTACAGCACCCCAAGCCCTGTTTCAAGCCCCATACCAACAGAGTCCAAGTGCGATCCTGCCGTCCGAGCATCGGCACCCAGCGCTGTGCTCGGGGTTCGATACCTGGTAAATACTCTCCCTGCTCATATTATTTTTGTTGGATTCCTGCTTTTTTATTCCTTCTTAGCCAGCGCCCGCCCATCAAAATCCACCTGGGCTCCATGCGTTGCATGATTCAGTTGCGACCCGTCCAGGTGCTGGTTGTTATTGCGTATACGATGCACCATAAAGACGGGATTTAGCCCCGGGGAGCCCTGCGCTGTCACCTGCCCTTGGAGGACACCGGGGATGGACAGCGGGTTTCCCTCGGGGCACTGCAGTCCGCGCTCCCGGCACGGGCACCGCAAACCCAGCACAGTGACAGGGGGCAGGCAGCGAGGTGCCCCAAACACACCCTCCTCCCCATGATCCCTCCATGCCATCACCCCGATACCCTCCCAATGCACTGGGTTCTGCCATCCCCACCAGTGCAATCACCCCAATACCCTCCCTAATGCATTCAGTCCTGCCATCCCCCCCAGTGCAATCACCTCGATGCCTTCCCGATGCACTGGGTCTTGCCATCCCCCCCAGTGCAATCACCCTGATGCCCTCCCAATGCATTCAATCCTGCCACCCCTCCCAGTGCAATCACCCCGATACCCTCCCCAGTGCACCGAGTCCCTCGTCCTTCCCCTAGTGCAGTCACCCAATACCCTCCCCAACGCATCGCCCCCGCCCCAACCCTCACCCACGCAATGCAACGTTCCCGACACCCTCCCCAACGCAC